TTCAATACTGACATTAGCTGCTTTGGCGAGCACTCCAGTGATGAAGATGTCGTCAATCTGAAAAAGGAGATATCATTGACCTGAGCGTAACGATTAGCTTGCTAGTGCTGGTACCCTACAGTAAACTGCCACTGTGTTCCATAACTGTGGCCAAAGCAGCAACATTTGCTTGGAACGAAATTCTGGTAAGTTGCAGCAAAATAAGTTACCCAGAAGAAACGTTGAGAATAAGCAGCACTCAGCAATCGTCTGATTAGTGAAAGCGATGCAAAATAGACTAGTCCAGCACAGTGAGGTGGAAATGTTTCTTCAGCCCACTCCTCTTTCGTTACTCTCCTGAATGAAGTATTTCTCACAAGAGTAGGACAAAACATTTCTTTCTCACACTTTGAAATGTATTACGGCGTCAGCCTTCGCTGTACCCGCTATATGTTGTTGATTTCTTTCCCAGTTTTTTACTCAGTCAAATCATAGGTCACTGGGTATAGTGGGGAATCTTAGCAGCGTTACAAACTCACTGAGAATATCGTCACTTTGAGGTTGAAAAGCGGGAAAACGGTCAACGATTTTGAAGTGTTACTCCCCGCTCCCCTGGTGGATGTCGGGTCCCGTCTTTTTGTGACTTTAATGTTTCCCACACTAATCCCTGTTGGCCCTAAACGACCCCTACCCCCCTCTCTGGTCACACCACAAAAATAAAGGCGTAAGTAACAAGAACTCAAACTCCAGTCGCGTCAAAATATCACTTATCGATAAGGGAAGTGGATCGTTACTGCTAAAGATCTTTATATTGCCAGAACGAGTATTCACCGATAAGAGCCCCCACCTGCTATCGTTTGTGGAGGAATACAAAGGGCGATAGCGTATGCGAGACAGGGCGGACCCTAGAATAGAGCTGCGCAGCTGTAAAGGGCCGTAGGTAGATGTCTAAGCTGTTATCTACCTACCTACCCACTTCAATATATTCTCTTCAAGAGACATAAAGTTTCGCAGATCACCATGTCTCCTCATGGCTCGTCGTTGTTGTGGGATCACCAGTAGAGGGTCGAATTTGGCCGCCAGGAGAGAAGAGGTCGTATTTGGGCCGAGAAAACTTTGTTTTTAAGCTGAGCTTTTTCGCTTCAAGAGCGTTGTAAAGGAGGAGAGTCGTAGTTGCTCATTGTTGTTAGGGGGAAGGTTGTATTCACGTCGTTTTCTACTAGGAGAGGGGGTGGTTGCGTTTTCGTGACGTTTCTGTTCCATATGTAGTACACGTAGTATATACCCTCCGCCCCCGCTTGAGCAAAATTTTTGGAAAAAGTAGGGAATTTTCGGGAAATTTTGGAAAAAGTGGCAGGAAGTTGGGGAAAATCTGAGAATTGGTAGAAGGGTGAGGGGTCGTATTGTCTCGCGGCTTTTCCTCTTTCACATGTGTTATTTACCCCGGCTCGATTTGATGAGGAGGGACAGAGGGCCGGGGGGGGGGGAAGGGGAGTCGTACCATTCCCTAAAAAAAGGGAGGGGCGGAGTCATACGGACTTGACTAAAATCCCCGACCAATGACCAATGTGCTCTGTGTCTCCTGCCAACCATTTTGACTTTGCTCTAGGTGCTCTTAACAATACGCAGCATAGAGGGGCCCATCAACTGGAGGATATCGTGAACCTTGTGCAGCTGTGAGAGTGTTACTGTTAAACCACATGTTCAAGCCTGTGCCCACTCTACGTAGGAGTACAAGAATACCTCGTTGACCGTTTGTGGGTGTTGGTTTGAACCACGTCATGGGATGGTTTAACGTCAAATCACTTCATACTAAGGTGTCACGCAAAAGCACCATCTATTCTATCTATCCTGGAGTGCTTCGGAAACATCAAGCATGGGCAGTGTTTTCAGCCTTTTGGCCACTGTTGTAAAGACGCTTGTGAGAGTATTGCTTTGCTGTTTCATTTTCTCGTAGTAAGGCCAGTTCCAGTCAGCCAGATTAGAGGACTGGCTATGGGTTAAAGAACAGCACCAGTATTAGCCATCGCGTCAGGATTGAAAACGTGAACATACCTAGACAGACAGAACCTAGCTGCATAGACGATTGCTGCTATAAAGGAAATGGAGGAAGCAACGGTACATGCTCCAACTGCGACGTGTTACGTCTAATTGCAAGGCGTGCAGCACGTGCAATGGCTCGAAACACCCAAATGGTTATCTTATATAGTAAACGTGGTATCACATTCAAAACAATACCACGAATTGATGCTACAACATGGAATGGATCGCAACTCTGCTAGCGGTTGATCTCTTTTTTCCTCTTGTTGCTTTCACTGACACATTTGTTTCCACTGTTTGCGGTGCGCCTCTGCTCGAGCAGCACACTCCTGCCAACCCTCCCCACTACCCTACATTCCCCGCTCCTTTCACCCCGCCCCTTTTCCTACCCCCTACACGTGCTCACTTCCGGCTGCCACGCGAACAGCTCTTGCAATGGCTCGGAGTGCGCTAAATGGTTGCCTCATATTAGCGGAGTATGTTATCACAATCAAAATCTGGGATTGATACATTTGCACCAATTGACTAAAGATTGGTTAGCGGTCGTTTCCTCCCTATTGCTTGTTACATGGCGTGAATCATCTTGCGGATGGACATACATACATACTACATACATCATACAAATACAGACTGACAAACCGACAAATAAAGTTAGTGCTTTATAGAATAAAAGGATTTGCTCCCTGCTGGACGACGCAAGGTCGAGATATTGCCACTGCATAAAAATGTGCCGTTACGATAGCTTGCGTTAACTGTCAGGAAATACCATGGATCGCCAGTATTTTCTCTCTGAAGCAGCTCACTGGTCTCCTATTGTTAGACATTTATTTTTACATGTGCCCATTACTACCACGGGGGGGGGGTAGAGGAATGGAGAGTGCCTTGTTGGTGGTGCTACAAGATGTAGAACCTCATTAGAAGCAAATGGCACGACAATTTGGTACTCGCCTAAAGTGGGCTAAATAGTGGGAAATTGGCGAAAAAACTAGGTGAAACGGTCGAAATACTGCGAAGAAAAGGCTTCGTTCTTAATGACTCAAAAACAATTTCGGACGAGTTCTCCATAGGCATCGTGCTACTAGCCGCTACGGTAAGAACGGCTTTCCGTAAGTACTCTTATATCCATACAGCACCGCAGCCGCCTCACAACAATCCCTTCGCTTCATATTTTACTTAGCAAATGAAAATACGTCGTCCATTTGAGGGTGGGCGGGGGTTGTGGGAGTTCGGGTTGGTGTGTTGTAGCTTGATAGTGCCTTCATAAGGCTTGGACAAGGCGCTACGCAGCGCCTGCTCAGTGTCGTGGAATTGCGTCCTGCCAAGCGTGTTAATCACACTCGCCTTGGGGAAATATCGTGCCAACTGCTATTGAGGTAATCGGTCGTCCGATCATCGCCACTTGATTGATGTTTGCTTCCATCACAGCATTTTTCGGAACTGAAACTTTCACATAGAAATCTTTCTTCACTCACCATTTAAGTCTTCTTCGTATTGGCTTGTGGTTGACGCGCCTGAAATGAAAAAGGGGATAGGTTGGTAACATGCGAGTTTTTAACTATAGCTAAGGTTCTGTTCTGTCTTATCCCCTTGTGAACTATGTGTTGACGTTAACCACGCAATTCGGAGAATCCAACATCTCTGTATCTTCTTGGCATTTGCAGGACACTTTTTTTGCTGTACTTTATTGTTGTTTGTTTGTGTGGTTGATGGGGACAATATTTATTAACTTCGACCTGGTTGTTGTTTTGTGGTTGTTTTGAGTGGCTCGAACATGTCCCAAGTTTCAGATTTACAACTTACCCCACCAAGCTTCTCGTCAAATCTAGGTTGGCAATCCAGTAATTGCCGATTTCACTCATGGATAGTTTCAGTTGAAATTTTAGGTTTGCTGACGTAGAGTAAGTGTAAAACTCATTTTGTTATTAGATTTATTATTATTATTAGCAATTCAGTATCAATCGGTATAAAAAGTTTTTGATTGGTTGCATAGTTTTTGTTTGGCGTTCGTTGAAAAATGGAACATCAAAAGGAACATTTTCGTCATATTTTACTTTTTTATTTCCGCAAAGGGAAAAACGCATCGCAAGCTCACAAAAAGTTATGTGCTGTTTATGGTGACGAAGCCTTAAAAGAACGGCAGTGTCAAAATTGGTTTGCCAAATTTCGTTCTGGTGATTTTTCACTCAAAGATGAAGAACGCTCTGGTCGTCCAGTTGAAGTTGATGACGACCTTATCAAAGCAATAATCGATTCGGATCGTCACAGTACAACACGTGAGATCGCAGAGAAGCTCCATGTATCACATACATGCATTGAAAATCACTTAAAACAGCTTGGCTATGTTCAAAAACTTGATACATGGGTTCCTCATGAACTGAAAGAAACGCATTTAACGCAACGCATTAACAACTGCGATTTGCTTAAGAAACGTAACGAAAATGATCCATTTTTAAAACGACTGATAACTGGCGATGAAAAATGGGTTGTTTACAACAATATCAAGCGGAAAAGATCGTGGAGCAAGCCAGGTGAACCAGCTCAAACAACATCAAAAGCTGATATTCATCAAAAGAAGGTTTTGTTATCAGTTTGGTGGGATTACAAAGGAATTGTCTACTTTGAACTCTTACCACCCAACCGAACGATCAATTCTGATGTCTACATTGAACAACTAACGAAATTAAACAATGCTGTTGAAGAAAAGCGGCCCGAATTGACAAATCGAAAAGGTGTGGTATTCCATCATGATAATGCAAGGCCACACACATCGCTCGGCAAATATTATTGGAGCTTGGTTGGGGTTTTGCCACATCCAGCCTTATAGTCCTGACCTTGCACCATCAGATTACTTTTTGTTTCGCTCTTTACAAAACTCCTTGAATGGTAAAAATTTCAATAATGATGATGATGTCAAATCGCACCTGATTCAGATTTTGCTAATAAAAACCAGAAGTTTTATGAACGTGGGATTATGATGCTGCCTGAAAGATGGCAAAAGGTCATTGATAAAAATGGGCAATACATTACAGAATAAAATTATTTCGTTCCATGAAAAATTGTCATTGATATTCAGAAAAAAATCCGCAATTACTTAGTTGCCAATCTAATGTTGAGCCATCGAGGGACGACAACGCGAGCCCTTTCAACTGAACTCATGCAATGTATGCTGTTTATATAGTATGCTTTTTGTATTGTAAGCAAGCTTACACTGAAAACCTCGCAGCTTCGCTCTGAGAAGTCCGCAGTAGGCAGAAAAGCCGGACTCGCATTCACCGTTCAGGACCGCATTAGGAAATGAAGATTTTATTCTAAACGGCCACTCCGACCGATCATCCGTCCAATATGAATGACATCTTCATCTTTATCTTTATTCAGATGCTGGAGAGCTCCAGAGGGGGAAGTTCGGCTGACGGCAGCCTATTTTCCACCCGCCAATTGTTGCCGGCAGCCCACTCCAACTGTTGCTGGAGAACGGTGTGGCGCAAACTTCAGCGCCACCCCTGACTTGCCTTAGTGTCTGCAGCGAAAGTGACCGTAAATAGTCGCTGGACAAAAAAGGGAACAAAAGGAACAGCGAATCTAGTCAGTCGAAAAGTGAGCTGACATCGGCGCTTCTCATTTTTCGGCCAGGCTTGGTGAGGCGATCGAGCTAGTGCCGTTTGAACGCACATAATTTTGGTGACCACGATGTTAATTTACACATGTATTCAAGTTTTGCGGATTTGGTGATCGTGGCACTTTATTGATGAGCTCGTGGCGAAATTTGCGTGCGTCCAAACGGAGTTAGCCAGGCGAGGCTGCTTCGCTGCGCGATCCTTCCTTCACTTTATTGGAACCAGGGCACGCCATCGTTGTGATCATCACAACAGGGGGGGGTCGTATTTGACCTCGAGGGAGGGGGTCGTAAGCGCGGGACCTTTCTGAAGTGAGGGTGCAGCGATACCCAGATGTCGTTCAGCTTC